ACTTTTATCTACTATAGAGATACTCTAAACTTTATCTTTTTATTATTTCTATATTTTTTAAATCTTATTTTTTTATTACTTCTAAGCTCTATATACTATATATAATAGTTATCTAGTTATTTAATTTATATATTATTAAGACTTTATAAGAGAAAGTAGTATTATTTTATTAATTATACTAAACTATTTTTTTATCTATAGATAATCCTCTTAATTCTTTAAAAATATCTTAGATAAGTATAGAGTAAACTACTAAACTATTAATATTAAAACTACTCTTAAGTAAATAAGAGTATTTTACTAGGTTAGTTTACTAGCTATAGAATTTTTAATTTTATACTTAATATAAGTTTATATATTAGCTTAATAATAATACTCTTTAATATACTGAATATATATAGCTATATATATCTAATCTACTTTAAAATTATAACTTCTAGTAGCTACTAGACTAGTCTATAAATTATCTATTTCTAAATAAGACTATCTCTAAGTTTCTATATCTTATATATTATATCTTAGATCTGCCTGACTATTATATATAGTAAGATAAGTATGAATTGAATATTAGATTTAGAATTAAAGTATCAAATCCTTTAGAATATATATATTTTTTATTAGTTATAAGTATAGTATTTGTTACTAATCTAGAATACTCTATTATTCTTAAGATATCTAGCTAATTTAACTTATCTAATCCTATATATATATTATCTACTATGCCTCTAATAATAATATACTATTAATATATAGAGATTTATAATACTAGTATACCCAGTATATCTAGAATAATAAATATAGAGTAAGCTACTTCTAGTAAAGAGCTGTCTAGTAGTTTAGCTATTTAAGTATTAGATAGTTTAATAAATCCTATTATTATTACTAATTTTGAGATATCTTATCAAAACCCTTTCTAAAAGATCTTTATACTTTAATTATTATACTATAAACTAAAATTTATACTACTAATAGAAATATTAATATATATTTTAAAGATATTAATAGATATCTAGATATAGAGAATATAAGATATTAAAATAATAAAGTCTCTAGATATATTAAAGAATATTTTAATCTTTATAATAATACTATTAATTCTCTAAATCTACTTTTATCTTAAGATATAAGATATCTAGAGACTAATAAAAGATATTAAAAAATTAAAGAAGTAATATATTAAGATACTAAGAATAAAAGATATTTATTATATTTTCTTTAACAAAAGTACTTAGTTTATAAGTTAATATTCTTAGTCTTATTATATCTAAGTTAAAGTTTATTATATTATATACTCTCTTATTTTCTTATATTCTTACTAAGCTAGAATACTCTCTAGATTTTACTAGCTGCTTTTAATATTAATATATTAATATATATAAAAAGCTGTATTACTCTAATAGTAAAAAATATTTTTACTAAAAGATAGTTCTACTTAGAGATATTCTAGAAAGAACTACTTAGTATATATATTAGTTGAGTCTACTAAGAAAAAACTTAATATATTTGAAGTATTCTAATATAATCTTATTAATTCTTATATATTCTCTTATTTTAATTCTAATAATTAGTTATATATTAATCTTAATATATTAAAAAGAGATTATAGTATTATAGTATACTATACTTCTAAGTATCTAATTATCTCTAATAAGAAACCAACTCTATCTTCTTATATTAAAATATAGCTAGTTCTATTTATAAATTATTTTCTATACTTTATAGAGACTTACTACTAGTCTACTAAGATAAAAGTTATCTATCTTATATAAATAATCTATAAACTATATTATATAATTAGATCTATATCTAAGCTATCTATTATCTTTATTAATTATATATCTACTATTAATATCTATACTTATAATACTATATCTCTATATACTACTATTATTATTAAGAAGTTAAATCTATATCTTATTTATATTTTATAATATATATAGTAGTTTACTCTCTATATCTACTATAGACTAGATATTATAAATACTATAGTAGATACTCTATCTTATTTTTCTTAGAAGAAAAATAATATTTTATTTTATAATATTAATCTGAATAACTATATAGAAGATATATTTATTCTTAATATTAGAGATAGAATATTTATTAATAAAGATATTAAGATATTTAGTCTAGTTAAAGTATTTATAGTATATATATTTAAATATCTATTTATTATATTCTTATATATATTTTGTAAGTTTAAGAACTAAGTAAAATAAGAATATATATTAGATTTTTATATATATAAGATTCTAAATATTCTTTATAATAATATAGAAGTAGTAAATTCTATTATTCTCTTTTATATATTAAATATAATAGTCTTTTATATATACTTAAATATAGTATATATTAAGATAATAAAGATAAAAACACTATATTAAGTAAAAAGCTATAGCTATATTTATTATATAGTTTTACTTAAGATATCTTCTATATAGTATATAATAATAGATATTACTAAGATCTTGAGATATATCTTTATATCTTAAAAGAATTAATACTCTATTATTATTAATATCTTCTATATAACTATATATTTTATTACTCTAATTATTATTTATATTAAGTTCTTAAATATAAACTATATAATAATTTATAGTCTATTATTTTATTCTTTATATTATTTTATACTATTACTTTTAATTTTATTACTAATCTTTCTATATATAATAGATTTAATTAGTTACTTATTTTAGTAGATAAATTTACTAAAAGACTAGAGTATATTTTAGATAAGATTAACTAGAAAATATTTAAATAAAGAAAAGTAATCCTTATATATCTATAAGTTTATAATTAGAATATATTCTATATATAGATTTCTAACTAAGACTAATACTTTATTACTAAGATATTTTATAATTTATTTAAGAACTTAAAGTACTAATTGTTATTTAGTACTATATACTATTTCTAGATTAATAGTAGTTTAGAGTATATAATCTAGTCTCTAAAAGTTATATTATAGTATACTACTACTAAGAGACTATTCTAGATTTTATAATTACTAAATCTTATTATATTTTTTAATAGATCTGTCTATTTCTTAAGTAGCTATATACTATATAAAGTTATATATAATATAAAGCTTAATTAGCTACTTAGTTTATAAAAATTATTTATATTAATATGAATATACTAAGACTTTATATCTATATATCTTAATACTAAAGATATTATTAAATATACTATAGTCTATATAAAGTATAAGTATAATATCTATTATAAATCTATATAATTTAATATAAGTAATAAAGTATATTTAAGATTATATAAGAAATATGATATATTTATATTAAAAGCTAAGCATATCTTATATAAGCTAAGATATTAGTTCTCTAGCTCTTTTAATATTATTAAATATATTCTATTATTTCTATTTTATAGCTAAAGTCTACTTCTTATAATATTAATCTATTTAGTTATTAGCTATCTAAACTACCTATAATTAATAAAGCTAAAGATTAGTAGAAAATAGAATATATTCTTAATAAATATATATAGTAATATAAATATAATTCTATATATACTAAGTACTTAATCTATTAGCTTAACTATAGTCTAGAATATAATTAATAGATATATAAATATAATCTTAACTTATCTAAGTTTATTTTATATCTTTAAAGAAAATATTAACTAATCTTACATCTTTTTATAATTTTTAATATATCTATATCATCTTTATATATTCTTATCTATATATATATAATATTAAGAATAATATGTCTTTCTTTAGTAAGAGTAACTATAGCTACTGTCTCCGCAGCTTGCTGTATATAGACAGGTCTCTGTGCCTTCCTAGCATATTGAGGTCTCCGTCCCTTCCTATATCGCCTGGATTGATGCTGTGGGATATAACCCTCCGGCCTCCCGGGCCCTTGATAGAATGAACAACTTCCTCATGATCACCTCTCGCACACAGCGATTTATCACAAAGTATATCCTATCACACACCCTTTTCTTTTTTACTAGATGACATCACGCCCATTCTTAATATATCTTAGGCCCTTTCCTTTTCTACTGGGTGACGCCACGCCCGTCTTTGATATATCTCGGCGCGGTTAGTCAGTAGATATTAAGGAATAACAACAATATTTGACCCACGAACGATCTTCGCTGCTAGCGACCCCCATAGGGCGGCCAACACTATACCTAACTAGATGAATGAAATTACTTTAAACTATTGAGTTATATTTATAGAGTTTATACTTCCCATTGATTTTCTTAAGGATACTCTTAAGAATATTATACATAAGTAGAAAAGGAGTACTAATATATTCTAGAAAAAGTATATAATTATATTACTTCTCTAGTATTATAAGAATATAACTATACTAGATGATAATAAGAATACTACTAATTTCTATCTTATCTCTAAGAATATCTTTACTAGAGATAATAATAATAGTAATAATAATAATTTATACTATTCTATCAAACTTTTATAGTAATAAAATAATAAGAATATTATAAGGATAAGAAGACTACTTATTAACTACCTATCTCATTTCTTTCTTCTATCTTGTTGACTAATTATTCTTCTATCAGATCTTTCTTCTGTTAGTCTCCTTCCTTTGTATTTAGTATCTTACTTCAGGGGGGATAGAGGAGTGAATGAACAACTTCGCATGGTCATAACATCTTGACGTCTCGGCGTCTATTGAGGGCTTCGAGCCCAGCGTATCAACCACATAAACCTTGGAATAAGTATCTAACTAGTCAGGTAGTAAGTGCAGGACTTATAATATCTTATAAGCTATAAGCAGTGGATAGAGAAGATAGAAAGACAAGTAACCAGCAGAATCACAGTGTGACCGAAAGATATATAGATATTAACCATAGAGTACCCGAAGTCAATAAGAATATATACAGAAATACAGCAGGAACAAAAAGCAACCAGAAATCAACAGGTAGAACTGTAGAAACACACACCATATCTAGAAGCCGGGATATGCTACTATATATCAAGATTGTTGATATCTAAAATGTGATTCATGAAGATTCCTTATCAGCAAGTTGTTGAGGAAGATCTTGAGATGGGCGAACTAGCTAAAGGAACCGCCCCAAGACAGAACAACAAGGCAGAACTGATTGTTGTCTTCCACAATTACACAATATCCACCACAGTAGGACAATAAAAATTATATGTTTAAAATATTTTGAATATTCTGTATTTAATATAGTAAGTAAATATAAAATTCTCTTGAAATCTTATTCTATTAATGAAGAATTAGTTGTTATCTGTTAAAAGGAATGAAGTATCGAAGGAGAAAGATGAGGTGGGCTAGAAGAACACCACCTTCTTACCACCTTCCTACTTGGAAACTTGGAAGGTGGTCCTTGCCTCTTGCCTTGCCAGTGCCTAGTAGCCTGTATATCACGTGAGAGCGATCACGGATATATTCCGCGCACTAATGAGTTCGTTAGCACGTATCTAAATGCAACTCGCTTTCATGCGGTGGTATTGACATAATATGTTACAAATTATCTTTGGCCGGAGTGCGAATCTCGATCTTGTGGTCAAGCGGCCTTGGACTTTACCCAATCGGCCCACCATAACGCGTATCCAATCCCAGAAACTCAGCCGCCGCCATTCCAACAGATGGTGTGGTGATTCTGCTACAAAAGGTGCCTCCAATGCACATCGCACAATCTTCTCCGGTATCCAACCGACAGGTGTACCACACCTAGGTAATTACCTAGGTGCGCTGAGGGAATGGGTTCGATTGCAGAAGGCTGCCACCGAAGACACGAAATTATTCTTTTCCATTGTGGATTTGCATGCGCTCACAATACCCCAAGAACGTAGCCAGTTGAGGGCTTGGAGAAAGCAAATGCTCGCCACATTGATCGCGGTGGGCCTAGATCCGAATCGCTCTACGCTTTTCTACCAGTCCACCGTACGCCGCGCTGCTCTTGGTAGCCAACATCATGTTCTCCGCCACTAACCTAATATATCTAGGTTCAATCGCATACTGAGCTATTCTGGATTTTGTGCACGACTGCATCGATGGGATATTTATCACGGATGACTCAATGGAAGGTAAGCAAGCGCAATGCAACATGAACACCGCGCATTGTAGGCATCTTACCTTGGGATCACCTACCAAGCAATACCATTGACACTGCCAAGAGCAAGCTTCAGTTACCCGATGATGTGACTTTGGATAGTCAAGCAGCAAGAACCGAGTTGCGGCTTGGTCTTTTCTCGTATCCCGTCCTCCAAGCAGCAGATATACTGGTGCATAGGTTTGGTGTCATTCAACACCCAACAAAGCCTGGCTAATTATGATCAGAGCTACTCATGTGCCCGTTGGTGAAGATCAGAGGCAACATCTCGAATTCTCTCGGAATCTCGCGAATGGGTTCAATCATCGCTATGGCCAAATCTTCCCGGCTCCGGAGGCTCTTATATGTGAGGAGCTCCGATACTTCCAAGTCCAGTGATCGTTGCGATGTCAAAGAAGTATTGCTGATTTGGTCTGACTTGTAGCGCCCGCTAAGCGAGTGATGTCTCTCAAAGAGCCTACACTCAAGATGTCCAAGTCCCATCATGATCCTCGATCCAGGATTCTTCTTACCGACTCTCCTGAGGATATTCGTAGGAAGGTGAAGGTTGCTCTTACAGATTCAGAAGCCGGTGTAACGTATGACCCAGTTCGCCGGCCGGGGGTCTCTAATCTTATAGAGCTTCTTAGTCATTTCGATGGGAGATCATGCGAAGAGCTGGTCTTGGAGTACCAGTTCACCAGTCTCAGAGCTCTGAAGGAAACCCTCGCTGGTCAGGTTTCGAACAGCCTTGCGCCTATTAGGGAAAAGTACTTGCAGCTCATTGGAGATGACAGTGGGTATCTAGATGCTGTTTCGGAACGAGGCACTCTCACAGCTAGGGCCAATGCTGAACAAACCATGAATCTTGTCAGGGACGTGATGGGACTGTGAAAGGGCCCTGTTTCAATATCTGATTGTCTGTTGATAGTAGCAAGGCACCCTTTGCACTGTCAAGCCGCTGACTAAGCAAACAAACCTTACAATCTCATGCCTGACATGCCGGGCAGGGTGCAGCCCAACAGGTAAATTACCATTTCTGTTATACAACAATTGCATGGTCGTGGATCGACCATATCCTGAACATGAAAGAGCTTAGATAGGCAGGATTTGTAGGCAACGATATGATTTAGTATGGCCTGATTGATGTGAAAATGATCAAGGTCCCTGAGGATGAATGTACCGTTATGATGCCATGCAGCAGCCTACATGGCTAGGCACCGCGGAGGTCTGATTGGCTGTCTAAGGATGGGGTGTAGAATTTTATTTAACATACAGTGCTGTGTCTCAGAAGTTATGTAAATATACCAACTCTCTTGGTATAATACTGATTAGCTAATAACTGTACCAATTTATATAATGTAATCAGACACTGATGTGATAGAATAACCTAGCTATTGGGAGTAAGGTCATTGGGATGATGTATTATAGTGGTTATACGAGTTATAAGGTTATGAATAGCAGTTCTATATCTTCCCAATATCTATAAAGTACTGATTTCTTTGTAGAAGACTACTAATTTCTTAAGAATTAGTCTATTTTATAAATATAGTGTCATGGTATAGACGATTCATGGATGGGTATATCATTGAATAGTTGGTTCAAGACGGAAGACATCAAGATGGGTGGGGACGAAGTTCTGCCGCTAAGGCAGCCAGGAAGGCAGCTAGACAAACGGGCGGCAGAATCTTGTAGCAGCAATATTCACCACAGATACCAGTATCTAAGACTGACATGCTTGGAAGCTATATATAAAAATAAATCAATATAGTTAGAAAACTATTATAATCTATTTATATAAAGACAACTCAATTGTAACAGTGGAAGATGGTGTCGAGGTTTCTGCCCTGTTGTTCCGCCTTGGGCGGATCTTAGTTAGTTCGTCCCGTCTCGGGATCCTGAGAATCAACAACTTCATGATCATAATGACATTAAGACGTCTTCCCTACCAAAAACTTTGACACACAGATGCTGGTTATATAAGATGAACGTTGTTAGATATTACTAGATATAGGGAATGAACAACAAAAGATATTCAAAGTAGATACTCTTAATATAGAAAAGACGAATAATATTAGAAAAAGTGTTATGGGACCAAGGCCCTGATATAGAGCTCAGCTTCAGGCACCAGTTGGTGCCTGAGGCCTCGCACACTATACACTAAACTAGCGCTAGCTTAGTTCGCACACATCTAAAAGAATTTCGCAGGAACTGATAAAATAGCTCTTCAGCTATTTCTTCTTATTTAGAGCTATATTTCAATTAGTATAATTTATCTATTCTATAATATTAGAAATAGCTCTTAAAAAGTCCTAGACAGAGTCTAACTAGATATATAAATAGAATAAGAATATAAAAAGAAATTACTAGAATAATAGAATAAATAGATCTAGAAGAACTATAGCTAACTATAATATTTATATCTTTACTTAATAATATATAACTTCTTCTATAGAAGTTAATTAGTCTCTATATAAAAATAGTAAAATAGAAACTAGTTTTTAAAGAATAAATAAATAAGTTATAGAATTATAATATAATCTCTACTATTAATAGTAAATAAGAATAGAACTTCTTATTATAATTATATAAATTATATTTTAGATCTTACTCTTAATATTCTAATATAAAATTATTTAATAAAGAAGATAAGTATAATTATAAACTATTTAAATTAAATATATATATAAAACTTATAATTAATAGAAACTATTATTCTACTAGACTAGAATAAGTCTTTTATATCTATAGTTAACTATATAGATAAGTAGTATAATAAATACTTTCTTGGATTAAATTATAGAATACTAAGATAATATAACTTAAAAATTTAATATTAATAATAATAAGTAAAATCTTTAAAGACTAATATATAATAAAAAGTTCTTAATAAAGTAAATATAATAAAATAAAAAAGAATAGAACTAGAAAAAATTTCTAAATAACTTTAATAAAGCCCTACTATAAGTAAAGGAATATAATTAATTAAAGAAGTAAAAAAGATTATACTAGATACTACTATAAATTAAAAACTTATTAAGAGATTAATTAGAATTTTCTAAGAATCTATATATAAAGACTACTATAATTAACTATAATATATAAATTATAATTTAAATAGAGTATTCTTTTTCTCTAAAGAAAGTTATACTAAGATTATATTAGTATATTAAAAACTAAGTTTTAAACTAATAGAATAGAAATCTACTTAGATAACTACTATATAATAAGAAGAATATAACTTCTATATAACTAGTAATAGTTACTAGAAATAAGTCTAATAGATAATATCTAGTAAGATATAGAAAAGATATAAAGTAGAGTACTATCTCTACTATAGATAGAGTAGATATCTTATCTACTAATATTCTCTTAAGTCTATTATATAACTAAGTAATATAGTAGCTATTATATCTATACTCTATAAATAAGAGTAAAATATATCTTAAAAACTTAAATTTAAGAAAAGAAAAAGTCTAGTATAAAGTTATATATTTAGATAAGAATTACTAAATAAAACTAGAAAAAATTAAAAAAGTTTTAAAAAGAAATATATAATTATATACTTTTTTTTAATAGAAGTAATTCTAGATCTTATAGTAACTATCTATATATTTATTAACTTAGAATATCTAATTTATAATACTATAAGTAAGATATTTATCTAAGAAAATAATATATTAATTACTAGTATTACTCTAAGACTAGTATAAGAGATCTCTAATAATAAAGTACTAATCTACTTAATTATATAAATAAGAATAGATATTAGATCTTATATAGAAAAGAGAATATATTTCTATATAATATCTAATAATCTTAGATATAATTTAATCCTAGAAAAAAGCTAGCTATTCTACTATAATAGAGTTTTAGAACTAGATTAAGAAAGACTAATTCTATATATAATAAAAATAAGATTAAAAGATCTACTATATCTATAGTATATAAAGCTAAGAGTTTAGTTAATTATAAAGATAAAACTTAGAGACTACTTAAAAAAAAGATTTAAAAAGAATATAGAAGTATTTATAGTTTTATTAGTAGATATTTAGAAGATATTTAAGATTAAGAAGATAATTAATTCTTATATAATATTTTTAGAATACTATAAAATCTTCTTACTTCTCTTCTAACTAAAGAATATAGAGAAACTATCTCTATATAGAAAAAAGTATATTAATTATAAAATTAAATTTATATAATAAGATAAAAAGAAACTAGAGATATTATAAAATCTTCTCTATAATATATCTTAAGAAGAGTTAATAGTTCTATAGTCTAAATTTACTAAACTATTAGAGAAGAACTTTATATAGATTAGTTATTTATAAGTAGTAGTTCTAGTACTGTTTATATAAAAGTTAAAAGAAGGACTAAGATTTTATATATATTATTAAATATTTAATATAATTATAAAGAAGAACTACTATCTATTATTTTTAATTTATAAAATTTTAAATTAAATTAGAAAGATAAAATAATTTATTAAACTAAATATATTATCTATTTTTTTATAAAGTCTATAATATAAAGAATTAAGAATAGATAATAATCTTTTATATAAGATATAGATTATATAAATAGCTAATAATTCTCTTCAGATTAGTAAATACTCTAAATATCTTTTAGAAATATATTAACTAGATATTATATAAATATCTTAATAAATTCTATTTAGCTTATATTAATAATATACTAATTTAAATAAATAGAGATATTAAGAAGTTTCTATAAATATATATAAAAATACTATAAAAACTAAAGAAAATAAAACTATTTCTTAATATTAAGAAATATAAGTTTAAATAGAAGAAAACTCTTTATCTTAGATTTACTATATAAGTAGAAGAAGAGATTAAGATATATTCTAAGAAGATTAAAATAATTAATTTCTAGAAGAACTAAGTTAATTAAAATAGTATAGAGTTTTCTAGAATTTCTAAACTTTTATTAAAAGTTTATTCTTAGATTTTCAACTATTATATAATCTCTTATAAATCTAACTAGAAAAGATTAATTATTTTTCTAAATATTAGAATATAAGATAAGTTTCTAGATTCTAAAAAGAAAATTTATAATTAGACTAGTTATCTACTCTTTTAATCTAAAATATATAATAATAGTAGAAATAGACTTATTTAGCTATAATATAGAAGAAATACTTTTCTAAATAAATAAAAAAAAGAATCTATATCTTTATATTTTTTTTTAAAATAGAATATTTTAATTAAATATAACTATAAGATTTATAATAAGAAACTATTAGTAGTTATATAATATCTAGAAGTCTAGAATACTAAGCTATACTTAGTATTAGAGTTTATAATAATAGTTAACTATAAGAATCTAGAATATTTCTTTAAATTATATAAACTTATAAAAAGATATATATAGTAGAGTCTAATTCTAAATAGATTTAATTTTAAACTAGTTTACTAGAAAGAAATAGAAAATAAATAAGTAGATACTTTATTATATTAAGAATAGAATATATTTAATAAATAAGATTCTAGAGTATTATTCTATATAATCTAGATCTTTAGTAGAATATTAAAAGAGAATCTAGAAATTTAGAATTAATCTACTTACTATAGTTCTAGTATAGCTACAAGAATATAGAATAGGGCTAAATAAAGACTCTCTAGAATAAATATTACAAATTAAAATAAAACTACTAGAATTAGAGAATAAATCTAAGAATAGCTAAAATTATACTCTAGTAGTAGATATAGACTATTAAATTCTAATAAAGCTTATATAAGAGAAGATATAGAAATTTTTATCTTAGTTAAAGCTAAAGATCTTTCTAAGTTAATATTTAATAGAAGAAGCTTAAATATACTTTAGAGAAAAAAAATAAATTTCTAATTATAAATTATTTTATATAGAATTTATTTAAAGTAATTATAATTCTTTTACTATAGAATATTTAGACTAAGAATAAATCTATCTTTTCTTCAGTAGAGTATACTTTTAGTCTAATATATTCTAAGATATAGGAAGATATATCTAAAACTATAAAAGAATTGAAGTATAGATTATTAAAATTACTACTAATACTAAACTAATTATAGTAAGA